GAAAAAATTTTTTTCTTAAACTTTTATTAATTGTTTTTTTTTTCACCTTTTTCTAGAGAGTAGGTTTGGAAGAAGAGATTTATAGGTAAATATCGTTTTCAAGCCTCTGAGGTATTGGAATAATTATAGCAAATCAGAGGCAGCAACCCGATGTGCATGCCAGGAGGGAATACAACACCTTTTCTGCTGTTTTGCCACAAAAACCAACTTTCCTACATACCTGGGGCCCGGTCTATTTAAAATGCATGATATCACCTGACTCGGGTTTTTAAAATTTTGAAAAATAGGGAAAGGGCAAAACATCAAATTATTGTGGGTTTTTTTATACAGTTTTTATTTAAATTTTATACAATTTGATAAGTTTTGGGGAAAAAAATTTCCGGGTAATTTTTCGCTGCATAAGATGCACCGACCAAAGACGCCAAGGTTTTTTTAAGGGGAAAAACAAGAAAAAAAAATTCGAACAAATGACTTGCAGACACAGGCCAACAGGGAGAACTTCCCACCGAGACGCGAATCGGACATAGTACAGGAGATGACCAGAGACTGCGGACGTAGTACAGAGTATTGACCAGAGACTGCAGACATAGTACAGGGAGATGACCAGAGACTGCGGACACTAGTACAGGAGCATGACCAGAGACTGCGGACATAGTACAGGAGATGACACAGTACAAGATTACCAAGACTGCGGACATAGTACAGGAGATGACCATAGACTGCGGACACAGTACAGGAAATGACCAGAGACTGCGGACACAGTACAGGGATGACCAAGAGACTGCGACAACACAGTAACAGGAGATGACCAGAGACTGCGGACACAGTACAGGAGATGACCAGAGACTGCGGACACAGTACAGGATGACCAGAGACTGCGGACACAGTACAGGAGATGACCAGAGACTGCGGACACAGTACAGGAGATGACCAAGACTGCGGACACAGTACAGGAGATGACCAAGACTGCGGACACAGTACAGGAGATGACCAGAGACTGCGACACAGTACAGGAGATGACCAGGGAGACTGCGGACACAGTACAGGGATGACCAGAGACTGCGGACACAGTACAGGAGATGACCAGAGACTGCGGACACATACAGGAGATGACATGAGACTGCGGACACAGTACAGGAGATGACCAGAGACTGCGGACACAGTACAGGATGACCAGAGACTGCGGACACAGTAACAGAGATGACCAGAGACTGCGGACAGTACACGGAGATGACCAGAGACTGCGGACACAGTACAGGGAGATGACCAGAAGACTGCGGACACAGTACAGGAGATGACCAGAGACTGCGGACACAGAACAGGAGATGACCAGAGACTGCGGACACAGTACAAGAGATGACCAGAGACTGCGGACACAGTACAGGGAGATGACCAGAGACTGCGGACACAGTACAGGAGATGACCAGAGACTGCGGACACAGTACAGGGAAATGACCAGAGACTGCGGACACAGTACAGGGATGACCAGAGACTGCGGACACAGTACAGGGATGACCAGAGACTGCGGACACAGTACAGGGATGACCAGAGACTGCGGACACAGTACAGGGGATGACCAGAGACTGCGGACACAGTACAGGAGATGACCAGAGACTGCGGACACAGTACAGGAGATGACCAGAGACTGCGGACACAGTACAGGAGATGACCAGAGACTGCGGACAACACAGTACAGGAGATGACCAGAGACTGCGGACACAGTAACAGGAGATGACCAGAGACTGCGGACACAGTACAGGAGATGACCAGTACAGAGACTGCGGACACAGTACAGGGATGACCAGAGACTGCGGACACAGTACAGGAGATGACCAGAGACTGCGGACACAGTACAGGAGATGACCAGAGACTGCGGACACAGTACAGGAGATGACCAGAGACTGCGGACAACAGGAATGGGATGACCAGTAGACTGCGGACACAGTACAGGAATGACCAGAGACTGCGGACACAGAACAGGAGATGACCAGAGACAGCGGACACAGTACAGGAGATGGTATGACACAGTACAGGAGATGACCAGAGACTGCGGACACAGTTACAGGAGATGACCAGAGACTGCGGACACCAGTACAGGAGATGACCAGCTAGACTGCGGACACAGTACAGGAGGATGACCAGAGACTGCAGGACACAGTACAGGGAGATGACCAGAGACTGCGGACACAGTACAGGAGATGACCAGAGAGACTGCAGACGACATATACAGGAATGACCAGAGACTGTGGACATAGTACTGAAGACCAGAGACTGCAGACAGTGGCAGGGGATGACCAGAGACTGCAAGACAGTAAAGGAGATTACCAGAAGACTGCGGACATAGTACAGGAGATGACCAGAGACTGTGGACATAGTACAGGAATGACCAGAGACTGCTGGACATAGTACAGAAATGGCCAGACAGGTACACCCGCTCCCACAGCCAATTCCCGCGGAGATTGTGCCTTCCTTCTTCAACGGAGGGGCCGGTCTGCGCCCAGGCGGGCTTCTGTGACCATCGCCGGTGCAACCCAGGCTGCGCTGTGCGCGAACGAGCAAGCGCGCTGCGCTTTTGTGAATAGGGCCCGGAGCCTTCTGGGACCTGCCATGTGTCCCAGAAGACACCGGACCATTCTCACAAAGCACGACGCTTCTCGCAGCATGCGCAGTGGGGCACACGGCGCTGTCACAGAAGCCGCCAACGGGAAGACTGGCTAGCGAGCTGGATGAGAGGAACTGGTAAGGTTCCTGCCAGAAGAGGAAGAGAACGAGCTAAGTCGGTCGCGGGCCCGATATTACTGTCCATGGTGGAGGCAGGACTCCAGAAATACCAGACTGGTGACGCTTTTACATTCGCATCCCATAAGACTCCCACTGACATTTTCCTGCCCTTTTTTGGGGGGAAAATAGGGAAGTTGCGTCTTATGGGAGCGAAAAATACGGTACATTCTTATGAATGGTTATTTTTTAGTTTAAAAAAGGTACTAAACTATCTGGGGTTCTAAAAAATTATATAAATGTCAATATTTAAACATTCATATGTTTATTTTCTTATAAGCATTTAAAAAATATATATGTATTATTTATTTTTCGCATTTGTACTATTACATCCGCCAAGATTTCATTGTGCCCCTTTTCACATCTCTGGGCTCAATTCACGAATGATATCTGTGCGGCTTTAAGAACTGCGGTAAAATACACTTTTAGAATTTTTTCAAAAATTTTATTGCCAGTCTGCTAAGAAATGCTTCTAAAAGGCCACAAGCGGTATTTTTATTTTCACAGAAAAAACCCCGTAAATTGTGTATTTTTCACAATTTTACAGTGTTTATCTCACATGAAACCATGGAACATTATTTTATACTCATGAAGTGATACAGTGTATGGATACAGTGGAGAAGACTAGAACCCCTGTCAGTTTTTAATTGCTAATAAAAGCTAAAATGGTTTAAAACTGTAGGAATAGCAAACTTCCCCCCCCCACTAAGTCAAGTGTGGTCCCTGCAATATTACAAAACAAAGTGGCCTGCAATACCATCCAAAGGGAAGCTTCAGTTCACGAGACATCACAAGTGGGTGTGTATCAAAAACAAGTTATATTAAAAATAAATACTAAATATCTTTATAACATTCCATATATTGATGAAAATAAGTATCCCAACATCCACCACATATAATACGCAATACCCTTACTTCTCCCATAAGAAAAGAGAATGTTAGCATGGGGAGAATAGGGTTAGTAGTAATGATGTGAGCCCTGGGAGTTCTAGTTAAGCCTCTGGTCTTGAAGCTTTCAACCACCAGCTGTCCAATGATTCCTTACATGCTCAGTTATCACCCTAATCTATTCTGTTCTGGGTGATAATTCAAGTGAAAGTTGTGTAGTTCTGGAATCTGGAATGTCCATTATGGGGCTGGCTTGAAAACCTTGCAAAAAAGTTGGCTAAACCACATAATTTTAGATTATATTGCTGACAGTCAGGATAGGCGTCCTAACAAAGATCTATACAAGCTGTCATTAAATATTTAATATCTCAGAATAGCGTATGCACCACGTTTTTATTTCTATTTTAATATCATATCATGCTCTTTGAACTACATTGCCGCCAGAGGTGTGCAGCTGAAAAATGTCACAGGCTACTGCATATGAAAAGGTATATTAATTTAATATAGCAGTTTGATTGAGATTTACAGTCATGTAAAGTGATGTGTTTTAAACAAACTGGAACAACTAATGAGAATAAATTCTCTGGGAACAGATGGCTTACACCCATGAGTCCTTAGGGAGCGTTGGCTCGTGTTACTAGCTGGGCCATTTTTACCTAATCATATTTTTCATATTTTTAAGTGCGCGGCACCTTACGGCTTAACCTATATAAAACCCAGTCCTCAATCTAAAGTGAAACACATCCCTTTTTCTACCCCTGCAAATGATTGACTATAGTGTCCTTCGTCAGGAATAATTAGAATAACCAGTTTATCACAGTTACTGGACTTCACATTGGATATAGTTGTACATTGTGATCACATCCCCTTCTTAACCTCTTCATGCCGGCTGACCACAAATGTGCAGCTCCCGACGTCTGGCCTAGACGCTGAGCGGTCTCCGACACATTTGCGTACTATTAAAAAAAGAAACATATGTGCAGTGAGAGAGTGCACCACTGCACTCACCCAACACACATGTGTCAGAATGGACTAGCCAGTAATGTGTGGGACTCACTCTGCCTTGTGGGCTGCAGTACTCAGGGCTGCCATCGGGTGCTCCGCAATCAGAAAGACTCACCCTCGCAGCCAGCCAAACCCCTGAAGCTGATCCATGCAGGTGGTATTTAAGGGATGGCCAAGACCGTGCAGTCTCAGCCTTGGTGTGTGTTTTCTGGCCCTGTATCTTGTAACCTGCAACCCTGTTCCTGTTCCTGTCTAACATGATTCTTTAGCTGACCCTGCCGATCCGGACACCTGCTGACCTTCTCCATGTTTCAATCCCTGGCTTGTGACCACGACCCGACCATTCTCTGCCTGACACCCTGTAACGCTAACGGCCCGATTGTTATTGACCCGGTCCTTGCTGAACGACGCTTGCGATTGTATAGTCTAGATATCTGTGTGTGGCTTTGGAGTTGGTTCCGTT